ATGTGCACAGTAAAAAATATATAATTTGTTAACAAATAATAAAATTTTATTAAATTAATATATTGCAGTGTTTCCTCTAGGATTTTTTCCAGCTGTGGCGGTAGGCCTTTTGTTACACAGATCTACCTGTGGCCTTGACAAATGTCAAGAGCGCAGTATTACAATTCGAGATCACATTTATGTAATAGCCTACAGCATGCAGATCTCTTTGCTCGTGCGCCGATTTCCTCTGCTCGTGCACAAAATTTCTTGCACGCCCCCTCAAAAATAAACTGCTTCAAGAGCGCGCAGATCTTCTTGTGCGCTCTCAAATAAACGCTGCTGAAGAGCAATTTAGTGCGTTTATGTAATGAGTATGTCTCCAACATTTATTCGATTTGCTAGGAATATATATGAATGTCTCTAATAGACCTACAGAGCGATATTAATGCGTCCTGAAGTAAAGTGAAACGGCTATATGTCCTGTTTGCTGGCCTCACGCATCACGCACCTGTCAGTCAGCCAGTCAGTACGTAATCTTAACGGGGTAAACAAATAATGCACAGCACTACTGTGGTTACAGGGAAGTTTCCGCTGTTTTAATTCACTCATCTTTTATTACATTTTGGGGAGGTTATTACCCGCTATTAAAAAAAATTAAATGTTTTGAATGAGAAGCTGTAATGTAGCCGTGGCGGGATGAATTTTGTCATGGCACCCCGTCATGGAAGAAGGAATGTAGCGAAACGATGTATTTGACAGACACACTATCATTCAGAATTTCATGCCATAAAATGTTTTTCTTCAGAGAAATTAATACTTTTATTCAAAATTGATTTACTAGAGTAAAAAAGTGACAGCAAACCTTTTTGCTGCATTTTAAAACAAATTGTCACACCTTATTTTGATGGTCCGTTTGTTGAATTTAAGTTACATTGTATCTACATGTCAACTAATTCTCATTAGATTATAAGTAGACTGTTAGGTTGGGGTTAGGATTAGTGTAAGTTGACATGTAAAATTGACATGTGACTTGCAAAGTTTCTTATAGTCTGTTACGTATTTTCTTTAAATATTAAATGATAATATAAAAAGAAATAAATATCTTAAGAAGTGAGGTTTTTGATTTTGTTTTTGTGTTTGTATTGCGTGTGGTTCTCTTCTCCCCGCCTCTGTCTCCAAATAGGGTTCATCATGTCGCACATGTGCGATGAATCAGGTGCCAGCCAGCACGTGGAGGCCGGCTTGTTTGTGGAGACAATTTAAACCAGACTGGAACGTCATTCGAAGAGTCTCCTCTCTCCCGGCTTTTCTTGATTGTCTTGTGGAGTAGAAACTGTGTTGTATTTTTACTCTGCTAAATTGGTAAAAGTGATTGCTGAGTGTTGACTTTGAGATATTACGGAGACACGTGTGCTGAGGAGGGTGCCTTTTTGTTTTATTACTTTTTCCTCCTGTTTTGTGGTTAGTAGGGAGGTTAGTGAATGTTATTTTATTTGTTTAATTTCATGTGCAGGTAAGAGGGTAAAAACTTAGTTAGCTGTTAAGTTTTGTTTGTTATTTTGGCATTTACCTCCGCAAGCTTTTTATTGTCTCCTTTTTGATATCTATACGTCAAATAAATTTGGCTTTACGTTATTTCGTTGGTCATTCATTTTGTTGTTGTCTTTACTTTTAAACGGGAGATGAGACTCCGGGCTCCTCATTAATTTAGAATCAAATTATTTGAATTTAATATTATTTATTGTTACGGGTCTGGCTTGCTGTGTGGAGCCAAGCAAGGTTTGAATTGGTAACATAGTCTGTTAAATGTCTGTTGAAGGAGCGGTATCAACAGATATTAAGCAGACAGTCTACTGATACTCAAATGGCCCATCAAAATAAAACTAAAATATAATAAAAAAAATAATAAACAATTAAAACAATAAATGAATGCAGGCTCTGTAATCGAGAGAGAGAAAGAAAGAAAAATCTCTGTGTATACTTGTCACCGACTCGGTCCCAGTTCATTCCCCTCGCTGGCCAGCAGAGGCCGCCATCTCCGGACTTCTAGCATTACATCATCCACATACGCTGATTGTGCATAC